TGGAGGCCATCGCTCTTAGGGTTGGAGGCAATCGTTCTTAGGTTGGACAATCGCTCTTAGGTTGGAGGTCATCGCTCTTAGGTTGGAGGCCATCGCTCTTAGGTTGGAGGCCATCGCTCTTAGGGTTGGAGGCAATCGTTCTTAGGTTGGACAATCGCTCTTAGGTTGGAGGTCACCGCTCTTAGGTTGGAGGCCATCGGTCTTAGGTTGGAGGCAATTGTTCTTAGGTTGGACAATCTCTCTTAGGTTGGAGGTCATCGCTCTTAGGTTGGAGGCCATCGCTCTTAGGGTTGGAGGCAATCGTTCTTAGGTTGGACAATCGCTCTTGGGTTGGAGGTCATCGCTCTTAGGTTGGAGGCCATCGCTCTTAGGGTTGGAGGCAATCGTTCTTGGGTTGGACAATCGCTCTTAGGTTGGAGGTCATCGCTCTTAGGTTGGAGGCCATCGCTCTTAGGGTTGGAGGCAATCGTTCTTAGGTTGGACAATCGTTCTTAGGTTGGACAATCGCTCTTAGGTTGGAGGCCATCGCTCTTAGGGTTGGAGGCCATCCTATCGCTTCGGTCGTTTTCTTCGTCGCGAGCCTCTTCTTTGGAGCCATGACCAGCAAAACCTGGAGCGATGACCAAACAACTGCCATAACTCATATCAGATGAACTCTTGCTGCTGAGTGTTCCACAAACGTCTGAGACACTATATATGAGAAAACAAAGCCATGAAATATGAGAAATGATGGAAACCAAATGAAACCAACAAAAACAAGCCGACTGATCTCCCGTGATAGAAACAAACGCCTGGCACTGGCCCGGGCCAAGGGTTCACCGTGCAGTCTTTGAGCCCACCAACAGAGGAATCGACAAACATATTGATTGGATTTGTTTGGATGTTCTACTTTCTTCAAAAAATTGAAAGCCAGTTAGTTGAATGGCAAAACATTCCATTTCATGGCTGCTATCCGCTACTAGGAAAAAGAAGCTACTAGGGGCTCCTGGCATCGCTACTAGGAGCAACGACGCTACTAGGGGCTCCTGGCCTGACTATAAACTAGGAACAAGAAGCTACCACGGCATAATCTGGTCTTCAAGGTTGCACCGGCTGAAGAACCACCAGGGTTGTTCCTGACCTCCTTGCCCACTTGCACTGGCCACCAGCCGGCAAGTCCGAGCCAACCTAAGTTTTCTCAGGATCCTTCGCCAGCTTCACTGATTTGCTTTACGGAAATTGATTTTCATCTACAGGTATGATATCACCTGCACACCCACATGCAGTGTTGACACTGCATATGGCTTTGTGTATACTTGTCATGATTAGAAGGGTTCTGAGGAGGATGTCCTCAGATCTCTTTCTTGGAAAATACACTTTGCAAATCAAGAAAGTCATGAACTTGCATCTCTTCTGAGGCAGCCCACCAACAACACTCACTGCACCAGCAAGCACCAAGTATGCCTGTCTTCGCCTGTGAAGTTCAAATCGGACTGTATGATCTTTGCGGAAAAGGAATTCGTAAAGCGCACATTGGCTAAGTGGATTAAAAGTGGGCAAGAGTGATTGAACAACTCTTGGGACATTCAGGCCAGGACGAACCAAAGATTGGCACGGAATCGGCCTCAGACCCAAGGCCGACAGGCCGACAAGCATAGATCTAGGTTGACCCGATACCCAAGGACGACCTTTGCATGAATTGTCTATGGAGACGGTCTATGTCATGCAGCTACGATGGTCTTTAAAAGCACGAGCGAGTTACATGAGTCATCAAAGGGTACATGATGAAAAGCGTCGAGAAGCTAGTAGGTTGGAGGCCATCGATATTAGAAGCAAAGAGACAGAAAAGGAAGAAAGGTCTAATATGGTTTGCTATTAGGTTGGAGGCCATCACTTTCCAGCGCTTCTCAGAGTCTGGCAATGAAGCCCCACAATGGCTTCATAATCCATGGCCAATACCTGGCAAAGGAGCAACAAGGATCACACCCATGTCACATTCGTCACACATCCATGTCGCCATGTTGCCTGTCGCTTCCTAGGTTTGGACATGTTGCTTCCGTGGCGCACGTCAAGGAAATGAACGCAGTGGCCTCCGTTGGGGACAAACCAAGTGTGTCCTTCACCAGACTTCCAGAACATCCACATGTGAAAGACAGCGACATGCTTTGACTGGGTCAAGACGGAATTTGAACATCACCTGCGGAAATCTCCAACCCATCACCCGGCACCCGGCATCAAATCTCCGACTTTCAGCTCCTTCACGTAGAAAGGCTTCGCCAAGGCGGCCAGCGCAAGAGCCCCCTCCGACAAACACCCAAGGCACAACCAAATGGAGATTCAATCCCAAGCCCTCCGAGTTGAAAGCTACACAATCAAGATGTGCCACCGCAGAACAGCAAATTATTGCGCTCGATTGCGGTCAACGATTCTTATCGTTGTTCATGGTGCAATGGCGAGTCACAGGTGTTCGGTATGATTGGAATCTCACTAAGTTCACTAAGCTCGGTATGTATGTCGGTCTGGTTGCCACCAAACCACGCCTGTGCAAAGTAGGCCAAACCAACAGCGGTAAAATCCGGTGTCAGTGGCACACCCAAGACCTAGGCGGTGTCAGTCTCGCACATTGAAAGGCTCGATTGAGAACCCTTTCCTTGAGGTATTTTAAGGGCGATGGCCTCCACCCTAGAATGCTGTAAGTGTTACCATGTCTTCATTACCATTCATTGGGTGCCTGGAATCTACCGTTGTTGAAAGCTGTCATCCACTGCCTTCTCCAAAGCATGGGCAAAAGAAATTGCAATCATAGCTTTCATTTGTATCGTCTTGTTGAACTCCAGGTTCTTACAAAAAGAACACCACTTCTCCGACTGGTTTGCTGCATCATCGTTGCTTTGGACATGCTGCTTCACTTTCCACCAAGTATTCCTTTTCAGGTCACCTCCAAGTATTCCTTCTCCGTCGCACGGCTTCTGCGGGACCTTTGCACGGCTTCTGTGGCGTGAATTTTACTCTGAAGTCTTGCATTGACTGATGTGCTCACAAGCAGTTAGGAATCCTAGGTCTTCTTCATGTTTTTCAAGACCTAATATGTTCTTCAGGAAGTCAAAGCAAACCTGAAGTTGGACTGCACCCACCAGTGTTTCCTATTTGTTCATCTTCTGATGAAACACAGAAGTTCCTGGGCTTTCCAAACACAGAAGTTGTTAGTCGATGTCCTGCCTGGCCAAGTCATGCAAAACACGATTAAAGCGGGTCAATGATGGTCAATGGTTGTGTGTTGGCCGTGGCATTGCGCTCTCGTTCCGCCAAACACCCTAGGGCTGGGCCATGGGTGACGACACAACCAGGGCGCTGGAGTTGTAAAGTGATGTGGTCTAGGTGTGTTCACCAAAAGTCAGAGTCCAAGCACCAGGGAAGATTTCTCCTGTTGTTGTTGTTGGGGCGAGAGTAAGCGTTTGAAACCTGGATGTGGTCTTTATCCAAGTCCGTTTGCAAGGATGCGGTCTGCAACGGTCTACAATCTAAATTTGTTCATGGTCTAAAATAGAAACATCGGATACAATATGGACCCCACCGAAAACAACAACAATTTGAAGTACCTTTGCCGACGCAGTATGGTCTGCCACAATCACAACATACTTTGCTCCATATAGGTCCCCCCAAGGCCAACATAGGCATGACATACGCCCCACAGACCCAAGTGGGCCGGCGCCCGGCTGTTAGGCGTAAGCCTTTAAATCCGGCGATGCCATATGGTGTAGCTGATCGCCTGTGCTCCCGATGCCGGGTCCCTCCCCCTTACGGTGTTTTGTGAAGTCGAGCTAAAAAAATTGTTCTCGCCTGCATTTCGAGCCGCTTTTGCCTAACACAATATAGTAAAATCCTTGAGCCTGGTAGGGGAGAGGCCTTTTTTTGGTGATTCTGTTTCTGTGATGTCGAAAAAGTCGTCCAAAAATCAGGCAAATTGGACAAACAAATTGGGAGCTGGAAATAAGGAGCTGGATTTGGGCCTGACAGGGACAGCTTTGATGCCTTTTTTCGGCTTGCGCCCAGGCGCAAAACACTGTAAATTACAGTGCTTTCACAAGTTTCGATCTATGTGGCAGCGTTGCAAAAACCTGCGTAAATATCGAAGTTTTTGGGGGCGTGGTGCGTGAAACGCTGCAAATATCGCATTTTTCGAGAAAACCTCGCAAATACCGTGGAACAACAACTTAATAACGCAGCAAGAAGTACAAAGGCAATGGACAGCCGCAAAAACAAAAGATCAAACACTGAACACGATGGCGAACACGCGCCCAACCGGCATCGCCGGTCTGCGAAGCTCTA